GCGTTGTCTGAGTACCGAGTCACCACCTTCTCAAGTGAGTGCATGGTCCCTTTCATCTTACACATAGATATGAAGTATTTTATTATAAATTACGTGCTATGTGTGCATATTGTCTGAATACTTGCTGTCTATGTTGGTGAAAGATTTTTATACATGTTTTAAATGATGTAAACTGTATAAAGTATTTTATATCTACAAAATATTTTGGGTAAAACATGGGTAGATGAATGATGAAGGATAAAAGTTGAAATAGAGGAACATTAGTAGCATGGGCCTAGTGCCCTATAGGTATACATTGGCAACAGTGGACCTAGTACCCTATAGATGAGCACTGGCAGCTGCGTCACAACCCGTAGATGTTTTAGATCTACAGTAAACGTCCTAGCAGCTGCGCTCTAAGGACACTATCGACAGCTGTGCCTAATAGGGAGCCTTATGACCATGACAGTAGCCTTTAAAGGTCAATACCGGCAGAAGCGCCTCATAGAAAATGTCCCAATTCTGGCAGCTGCGCCTAAGTGACAAGATTAGCAGCTGCGCTTGACCAATGTGTCATTGGCAACAATGGACTTCATGTTGTTTCCTTAGGATGATCCTTAGGAATGAATGAACGAGAAATAGTTGATTCTTAGGGTAGACCCTTAAGAATAAAGAAGATAATGGGGATGGGTAATTGGGTTGATTGTTTGATTATTTAAACATAATAATTATATTATTGTGGGTTGAAAACCTTATGTACTCACCAGGTTTCCCAACCTGACCCACTCAGTTTATTTATATCACAGGTGTTGATATGAAGTCACATTACACTGAGAGATTTAAAAGAGATGTAGATCACTAGTGTAAATAAATGTAAGTTCTGTTTATGCTTATGTTTCTGTATTGACGATGACATCCCAAATGTTTTAAAAGTAAATAAAAATATATTTCTTTAGAAATGATTTAATAACGCGATTATCATGTTTTTTTGGGAACAAATTCCGCAACATTTTTATTAAAAGAGATACTCTGATTTTTATAAAGCATAAACAAAAATCGGTCTTTTCTGGCCGTGAAAAATGGGGATGTCACAATGTCTATGTCTTCTGTCGACACATCCATCATGCTCAGGTGTATGTGTTGATGATTTGAAGTAGGTGATACCAAATGTAGAAAGATGATCTCGCATCTTTATGTATTCTCCACCATTATCAGAGAAATCGGCTGGATTTTGGTGTTAAAAAAATTTTCTACCAGTAATTGGAAACGAATGAATATCACTAGTGAATCAGATTTCCTATTCATGTGATACAACCATTTATATTTGATAAAATGATCAACAAAGATAATATAGTATTTGAAGTGATCAATAAATTCGATAAGGGAGCACCATACATCCGAAGATAAAAGATAAAAGACCTA